GGGATGCTGCCTCAATTCAGTCCCAGCCGGCGCTTTGGGCGCACTCACTATACGGGCTGCATGTCTTCTGAGCTCAAGGAGGTGTCGCTGCTCTGATCCAAGGTCCTCGCCTGCTTCCTCATCCAAATCTTGCTGCTGCCGATCGACTGGCTCCCAAGGCTCATCGTCCTCTTCGACTGAAAGGACTTCAACTTTGACATCTGCCATCATCATTCCCGATCTGGTTGCGTTCGGGTTGAAGGATCCTTGTCGTGTGCTCCAGCATGTTGTTCAGCACTCTCAAGGGACTTGCAAGTGAATCCCTGGAATAGGTCAGCACTGACTTCATGCGGCCTGTGTGGCCACCCAAGATTTCCCTGTCAGGTATTGAAGCACCAAACTTCGCCAGGAAACTGAGCAAAGTATAGCAAAGTAGCCTTGCATGAGTGGCTCGAAATCCTGCAATCCTCTGGCAAACCTCCATTCCTGTCCAGGATCATTTTGACCCACTTGCTGAACTCTCCTGTGCTGAGTGGTCGAACTGTTGCTGTTCCTTCGCCATCCGGTGCTGGCATCAAAGGTGCACCCGACCCGAATTGATCACCCAACTGTTGTCTGAGCTCCCACCAAGTTCTGACGCAGTTGCCCTGCACCACTCTGCAAGCACAGACAGCGAAGCATATCTTCAAGGATTTTGGTGAAGCCATCTGGCCGCTTCTAAGAAGCAAGTGCGAGCATCGGCACAACAAAATGTTGTCAAGGCGCGATGTCAGTGTGCCACCATTCTAAGGTTCCTTGTGCGTGATTTGTAATAGATGTGCCAAATGATCTCAAATGCATTTGGCAAGGCGGGGTGCTTCCATTTTACGGCCTTGCAAACCATACATGTCAGTGGCCATGGAACACCCATGTACATGAAGTCTTAGTGAGTTCATTTCAAGATCTTTCTTCGGCGCTTCTTTTCAAGGGAAAATAAACATTTATTGAATTGTTGGGTTGGTATGATTTTGACAGTTGCGATGTTGGGCGGGTTGATTGTTGTTTTGGTTGTTGCAGTTTTTGCGATTTGATTGGCGGATGGTCCCTGGTCGGATGATGTTTGTTTGATGAAGCAAGAACGCACTGAAATTTTGGACAACAAAGTGCAAGGAAAAGGGACAAACACACTACGCATTTTGCCTGCCGCAGCATATGTTTGTGATTTCGATGTTTTCTTCAAAGAGGACAAAGCAGCATCACACCAACAAAACGGACATGATACTTTTAAACACATATAAACAATAAAATCGTCATTATTCATATATCCACACCGGCGCAACACCGTGAAACATCTCGTTGCATTTTAATGATTTTGGATGTTTGATATTCCAACGCGTCAGCCATCATGTCGATTGCAACAACCCATGTAATTTCAAAATCAGGACCGTGGGGCCACGGCAAATGATTTGATTCACGTGCGTGAAGTACATCCGCCGAAAAAAAATTACATCGGACTTTGACATTTCATGGTGTTGCCTACGGGTTGGAAAAAATGCAATTAGATTCAAGGTTTTAGGCTGGATGAATACATATACTGGAAACCAAAACCACATATTTGGTTGTTCAAATTCTAGTTGTTTTTTTTGTGGTTTGGCCTTGTTATACATTCCGTGGAACCCGGAAAATGCAGGACAACCTCATTCCAACTCAACATCTCACCATGACCTTAGCGGAGCTGAACAAGGCTGATTGAACGGTTAACTGTTCGCAGCAAACCCTTGGCATGGTATGTTTTTTTTTTTTCCAAAAAAATGTGACCATACATGTGGCATAACTGGCATAACTTGTAATTTTTGTATGAATTTTGCATGATTTCGTTGAGTTGGAGGGAAAATGTGTGGGAAAATTCCATGGAAAGTGGGTCAATCCGTGGCCGAAATTGGCAGGCGGCCGAATCAGCGAATCTGACCGAGGCACCGAAAGCGGTGATTCCATGTGGCCTGGGATGAATCCCGCAAGATGCTGAAGTTCTACTGGTAACCAGCCAAATTTTGTGATGATTGGTGCACATTCCACATGTTTATTCAGTTTTTCTCGTTTCAAATGGAAACAACATCTTTGAGAGCAACAATTTTTTTTGTTTTCTGATGCCGAAAATCACGGTTGTTTGATTGTCTTTGAGTAAAAAAATAACAAAAATTAAAACGACATGAAACGACATATTTCACGTTTTCGCGACATTTGTTTGGTCCTGTTCCCGCAGTCGGAACATTTGTTGTGGCGGCATTTGAGCCAACTTTCGCAGGCCAAAACTTGAGTCTTCCAGATGCACTGGGGTTTCCTTTGTGGGACGAACATGAAAACTAAAGACTTGCCATTCACAGAGACAAAATCGGTATCCTACATTCGTTATGAAAACATCCAATACCTAGTTGTTTCTATCCTAATTGAAAAAACAACAACAAAGGAATTCGTTTTTTTTTGGCCAGGCACGGCGTCATTTTCAGCAGCTGCTGGCGGATCCTAAAACCTCTTCCAAAACGGTGGTTTGGAATACCCTCCTGAAGGCGGAACTGACGAACCGGTCACAATCAGGTCATTGGTCGTTGGTAGATGTTGGTCGCTTGACAAAATTTGGGTGTATTGTTTGGTAAATCAAACACGGTAATTGAAAGTCTCCGAACTTCATGGGCATTGAGGGGAAATCCCCGCCTTAAATGGATGACTTTCCATTGCCACGTTCGATTCCCAGAAGGTACCCAGTTTTGATCCAGATGGAGATGGATGGTGCCCCATTTTCATATTCCAGAGCCGAACGTTGATGGTCAATATTGCAATGGTTCGCAAAGTGTTGTTGCTGACGCATTTTCGAGGAACCAATGCCATTTCATTTTTTTTCGATTGTAGTATATTTTCCTTATTTTAACCATTTTAGCCACCTTGTATTGTGATCATATACTATGTACATTATATTATATATATATAGTCTGTTATTACTTACTGTTGATTCCATCCCTTTTCGTTCTGGCTGTCCATTTCTGTATCCAAGGCATGCTGGTGAAATTCCGTTTTTCTTGCGGTCTTCCGATTTCGAATTTGGTGGTTACCTCATATCGTTGTTATGAAGAAACCAATAGTGAAGAAACCAATAGAAAAGAAACCATTTACTTTAGTAGGATCCTATTTTTTCGTATGGTTCTCATGGAGGCCCATGCCAATGCTGGAGACCTTGTGGGAGCAGAGCGATGCTTTCGAGAGATGGAGCAAAAAGGTGGAGCTGGGATTTGGGCAGCCAAATGTGTGAAAAATGGGTGCACCAAGCATTTTTCATGGGAGTGTAGTGGGATGTCTCATCTCCAAAATTGGGAGTTGCGACAAAAAGGACTGACTTGGAGTGATTTAGACTTACTAATAAGGGAGTTAACCATCAACAATGAGGCTTCACCATGGTTCTAACCGTCCTGGAATGGGGCCATAGCCAATGAAACACCCATAGGACAGGACCCCAAAACGGAAACATTCCAAACCAGGGCTTCGTTTGAGGGGAGTATTTGAGATTTTGAGGAAGAGATAGATTGCTCAATTTTGGGGATACATTGGGAAATATCACCATCATGGACCATTAGATCATCCCAGAGGTATTGATCCCCACAATCTCCCAACTTTCATTCCCGTTTCGCGTGACTCATCCTGTCTGTGGTACACACAATGCCAGAAACCATCCCCAAATGGTAGTTGTTTATGCTCACGGCCGCATTAGCGACCCCAGAGGAAAGTGTTATTTTTTACGCTGATCATGGGGTTGGGGTGGGGTGGGGTGGGATGTTAACGTTCATGTTACGCTGATGATGTTACGCTGATCATGGGGGTTGGGGTGGTGTGGTGTGGTGTGGGGTGGGATGTTAACGTACATGCGACAAGTGCTTCAAAAACGTTGTGCGCTACAAGATGCAGTTTTCAAAATTAGTGAAAATTCGAAAGCTTCCCAAACTGACGGGAACGCAATGCTTAGACCAGGCATGGAACCAGTTGAAGAAGTTTGTTCCTAAGGAACTCAGGTCACGAGACTTGAAAAGCCAGCGTGACAATTCACGGCTGACAACGTATGTTTTGGCTTTCATGTTCCGATGGAACGCAAGGCCGCACTTGCTGAAAGCAGTTGGCTCTCTTGCGAAGAAGGCATCTCGCTAGAGTAGAGGACCAAAAAATGCTCATTTTTGGGAAAGCTGGTGTGTTCGAGTCGCAGAGCCAATGGGATTTGCGAAAATGAGGTTCAAACCCATGGTAAATGTTGGACGTTCTGAACACAGGTTCCACCACGACCTTTCAAGTACATTGCAAAACGCAGCACTGAATCCTTGAGACTCGAAGTGAGCAAATTATCCAGGGTCGTTAACGCGGCCGCAGCCTTGTTTATGGCATTGGGTTTACCACATGAATCACCATTAGTCACTATTGAAGCCCAATGAATCACTATTAATCACCATTATTTTCAAGGAAGAACTCCAAGCACCCGATGAGCTGTTTCACCTTTCCATCGGTTCTGCTGGCCCAGCGTGACAGCACCGCGCAACTCATGTAACTGGAATGATACCATGAACATCTGCGAAAGAACCCCAATTTGTTTTGGTCAAATACCGCGATTCCTTGTACTACTTTGTTTTTTTGGTTGTTTTGGAGACATCTAGAAGAAGGGGGTCCCCCAGTTATAGGATGTTATCAGTTGTAGGTTTATAGCTTTTAGCCAGAATTATCCTGATCCTACTCGGCGCCAGGTGTGCGCACCAATGAGAAGACCTATGGAGACTTGGTTGCAGATCTGGGACGTGGGCTGAACATTTGACAACTTCAATTTCGCCCGAGAATGGGACTTATTTCTGGTGGATGAAAATGAGAAGTTGACATAAGTTGACATTTTATTCAACATGGAACACTCATTTTATCAACATTTTATCAACATTTTATCAACATTTTATCAACATTTTATCAACATTTTCTCAACATTTTATCAACATGGAACTTCATAAGGGAACCAAATTGCCATGGCACGGCAACAGATCATCTGGGATCCAAAGTGGCGCCAGAAAGTCTTGCCAGGGAAGTTGGTGGAGGCCGCTGCCAAGGTGCCTGATTTGAACATTACCCAAGAATCCCAGGTATCCTTGAGTTAGTTATGTGCATTTCGGAAACTTTTTGGTAAACGTATAGAATATATATATATATATGTATTATTACACACACACACATATATATATATATATCAGTCTATAGTGCCACCCCCAAAACGATCGAACATTTCCACTTTATGATATCACATTTTCTAGAGATTCACTTTTTTGTTTTTCTTTTTGGGATAACGATGACGAGCAACGCGTCGTTCTGGTGTGTCCAGGCTGCTGAGCCGGACCGAGCCGAAACATGGCTCCAGTGCCTGGGGAGCGACAGCCCTGTGCACCTTGGACGAAGGAGGTGGCCGGCCATCAGGGGGAGGTGTGTATAATATTCACTGCTATATCTATCTATAGAAACTAATTCTATATTCTCTATCTATCTATATATATATTTATATAATGTTATGTTTATACTATATATGTGTATATAGTCAGCATGAATGATCCTTGCAATATGATCGAATGTTTATACGTTGACATCATATGGATGAAATCAAATAAAACATCTACATGTACATATATATATATATATATGATCTCCAAGCATGACTGTGATGGCCCTTGACTTCCTGCTCAAGCTGAATGTTACCTGTGGTTGATAACTTGTGGGGTTGGTTTAATCTGGCCAGTGAAATCTCCAGGTGGTCTGCTTGTCCTATCCATTGTGCCCCGTCCTGTTTGCCCTGGCTGCTGGCCGGCTGGTGCCTTGGATTTGCCTCTTCTGTGGCGTTTTTTGGATTTTTGGCCTTGTGGTGGACTTTCCGTTTGGACTTTGCCCGGGCCTCTTCTTTTCCTTGCCGTGAATCAGCCAGGATTGCAGTCAGGTCACGTCTGTCACATTACGTGAATGAGTGATTGCCCTTTGTCCGCTGCTGAGGTAAGGACAATCATAGAAAAGCTAGAGGGTCTTGAAAAGTGGCTGTCCGAAAAGGAGTCCAAAGAGCGAGAACAAGCCTCTGCCTCCACTTCTCAGCCTCGTGGGTATCGGAAGGGGGGACCTGCAGACCGTGCCAAGGTCGCTTTGCCTAGCCAGTCCAGTGTTGCAACGTTTCCAGCCATTGCACCAATTTCTGTGGGGTTTGAGTTGGTAAAAGAAGAAGGAAAAGGTTTCAAGGAGGTTTACGGTGAAGTGCCGTATAGGGGCCTAGAAGACGGCCCTGGACCTGTCCCAGAGTTTTTGGAGGATCAGGCAAGTTTTTGTGGCCGAACGCTCGAGATTGGTGTGCAGCGTGTTCACATTGCCTTTGCTGCTGGTTTTTGGGCCCGCATTGCATTGGAAACTTGTACCCCCCAGACTTTTTCCATCCGCCTGTCCGAGCCAGCTTGTCATTTCATCGTGCTCCGAGCTCAGGGTCTTGGTGGCCACGTTCAGTTTGCATCCGAGAACGATTTTGACTGCTTCAAGGATCGAGTCAGAACAGGTGATTTGGTAGCTCAGGGATTTGCCACGGAAACCGAGATCAGCGTCTTCTGCTACGCTGCACGAATTGCTTTGCCCCCAATTTTTAAGCAATGCTGACCCGTGACAGAATCAAGCCAGCCTCTTTAGGAGAGCCAAACCTTTTGATCTTCTCTGTGCCAGCCACAATTGCATTGGCCGGAGAAGAGATGGAAGTTTATGCACTGCCAATTCAGATTCTCCTTGCCGTTCCGGACAATGTTCTCAGTCCACAGTCCTTGCAATCCGGCCAAGAAGATGAAAACGAGCTTGCAATGATTGGCCCTAATTCAGTGTTTCAAGTTCCCATGTTTGAGGAGGCCGACGACCTTTCGGTGATTGAGCTTGGAATCGTAGGCGATGTTGTGGTTGTTGACATGACAGACGAAGTGCTGTCTCTCTGCCGCGAGTATGACCCTGTGACTGATTCCCTCCTCACCATTGGCGGGTTTTCTGATGTTCATCCGAATGCGCTTCCTGATTGCAACGTCCTTTTTGACAAAGTCAAGGAATGGATCAGTGCCAGAAGTGATGAGAGGTCGGGTTTTTATACCGCTCAAGAAGACCGGGAAGAGCCAGCTGCAAAACCTGTTCCTCATGCTTCGCCAAAAAAGGCGACGCCAAAAGTGCGTGTCACCAATTCTATGATTGCAGAACAGCTCAGCACCTTGGCAGCCCAAATGCAGGTGCTGACACAACGCCAAGATCGTTTGGAGAAATCAAAGAGCTCTTCTGCAGAAAATGTTGGAGGTCGGGATCCTGGCATTTTGCCAAATGCCCAACCGCAAAAGCTTCCCGCGGTTTCAGCGGGCCTCCCAAATCCGAGTGGAGTATCCCAGATTGCTGCAAAAGCATTGTCCCTTACAGGACCCCCGCCAAAGACCATGAGAAATGTCCCGCAGGCCGGGCCTCCAGATCTGACGCAAATGGACGACCCTCTGGACCCTCTCCAAGCTCGTCCCGAGGAACCAATGGCAATAGTATCAGCGCTGGCACAGCAAAGCACTGCAATCACAGCCCTTGTTGCACATCTGGCGTCCCAAGCCCCAGATGCTTTAGGAGACTTGGCATCCTTAGGTCACAGTACGAGTTCAACAAAAGGTGTTCAAAAAAGAGAAAGGATGCAGAACGATCTAGCAACAGGCCAGAGCATGTACTTTGTCCAAATGATGCAGCAGCTTCACCGACGCTTGCACCCTGCAAAGCCAGTACCGCAAACAGAGGAGGAGCTATGCCATTTGTCAGTTTTGACTTATCTGGAGAGGCAAGGAGGGTACCGACAGCACAGAGATCTAGGTTTGATCGCTTGGATCTTAGGGTATGCTATAGACGCAGCAGCAATGGGGGATCTTCGCAGAACCAAGGAAATCATGGCCTTGATGATGGTCTCGGTGGAGCAGGCGGCAGTCGACAAAGGAGATTGGAGCCTAGCTTATCTTCTTACCCTTTTAGAAGATCCTCCACTGCAGATGTTCCAGGAGCGCTCGACCACCCTGGGTCAGCACAGCAAGGTTTTTGGGCCTCTGGTTCCTCCGAACTGGACAGCCGTTTGCCTAGCATACCTGAAGGATATGGAAGTGCTTGCATCGAAACGCAACGAGACGGCAAGAAACCTGCAAAGGCAATGCCCAGCAGCTCAAGTGTAGACCCAGGAGGGAGTGCCGAACCAGACAGAGAAGCGTCACCCAAACGGAAACCTCGGTTTCCGAGGAAGCCCAAAGCAAAAGCGTCTGCGGAGGCTTAGCTTGGCCTCTTTCAATGAGGGGTAAGGATAAGCACAATGTTGTTGAACCTTCCCCCCAATCTTTAATTGAATTAGGTAGCCCCCGTAAAGTTGTGGATGGGATGGACTTTCATAGGTCTAAACAACATAAAAACCCTAAAAATGCAGAGCCTGTCCAGGGGCCTTCGGATGATAAAAGTCGTCCTGAGTTTGCTGTGGACACCATCTCCTTCCATAAATGGTGTTCATTTTTGGCAGTTTCAGTCCTTAGAACTAGGACCCCGTTTGCACATTTCCTTAATTCCACTTTGCACTTGCAACGAGACACCCAAGTCTCGGCATCGCCAGCGTTCCCTTTGCCGATTCCTTTTGAAGGGATTTTTGCAAAGATGCCTCCAGGTCTTTCATCCACAAAGAGGCGCCAGGTGCATTTCCGTAGGGCTTTGCATGTTGTTATCATGGCGTTGAACTTTTGGTGCGCTGGAAGCAGCTTCATACCACTGAAGCTTCTGGAGAGGACCCCATCGCAAAGCCAGCGTGCAATTGTGCGACGGCTGTCAGGTCTTTTGCTGGCTGACGGCCCTACTGACCCTTTTCAGGTGCTTGGTAGTGGCCGACGTTTTCCACAGCTTTTAGCTAGGTTAGGTGAGCTTTCTCAGTGCATTACAAAACTTGGGGTAGGTGCTGGACCATATGAGAAGATCTATCGGGGTCATGATGTGCCCATGGACAGTTCGCTTTTTGCCGAGTTAGAGCCCTACAAGAGTTTGGATGCATGCCGCCTTAAGGTTGTTGGTGAAGGTGCTTTCGATGCTACGCCTTTCCTTGGCCCTGAGTTAGCAATGGCATACCGCTATCCTGACTCTTTGCTGCGTGAGTATATACCAAAGCCTTATGAATATCCGAAAGTTCCTGACCCTGCCAGTGAAGTAGTCCAACTTGCAAAGCTTTGGGACGTGCGTGGTTTGCTTTATTTGCATGATGTGGACTTGCAACATGAGAGGCACTATGAGCTTGTCAGGGTTTTCAATTGCCTCAAAAACGAGGCATGTGACAGACAAATCGGAGACCGTAGAGGACGAAATGCCTGTGAATGTAGGGTGCTTGGGCCATCTGTGGATTTACCCACAGGTCCTGACCTGCTTGACTTACAGGTGAAGGCATCAGAAGAAACCCTATCTGTGATTTGCACTGACCGCAGGGATTTTTACCATCAGTTTGCCACCAGTCGAAACCGTGCCTTGTCGAACTCTGTAGGCCCCGTCATTGTACTGGATGAGATGATTGGTACGACAGCCTATGAAGTTTTTCAGAGCGAGAGGTGTAAGAGGAAGCCCAGCAGAACTGCCGGCGGCGATGGACTTGGATTTTCTTGCCGTCAGGGTTTCAAAAAATGTGATAAAGGTTTCTGCATGGCCTCCTTCAGTAGCATCTTTCAGGGTGATCATGCTGGTGTCGAAATTGCAACTGATGCCCATACTGGTCTCTTGCAGTCTGTAGGTCTTTTGTCCCACCAGACCAGGCTTGTTTCCAGCAGACCTTTTCAGGGATCGGACCTTTGTGAAGGGCTTGTGATTGATGATTACTTTGCCATTGCGAAAGTTCCCAGGGGCCTTCTTGTTGCAGACCCTGCCAAAAGATGTTTGAGCACTAGTAAGGCCGTCTATAGTAAGCATGGCATTATAGGTTCCGATGACAAAGACATCAAAGGTGAAAGGCGAGCCAAGGTAATCGGGGCCTATGTTAACGCATCTGACCAAGCCCAAGACAGAGGACATGTCCTCATTTCTGCCCCTCCAGCAAAAAGGTATGCCATGGCATGGGTCACTTTCCAGTTGTGCCAATTGACCCATACCACTGATGCTCTTCATCTGTGTGTGTTGGGGGGCTGGACCTCCATCCTCATGTATAGACGCCCTCTCATGTCAGTGCAGCAAAAGAGCTTTCACCTGGTCGATATGGATGTGTTTGATGCATCGCTTCCCAAGATGATTAGGCTACCACGTGCAGTTGCAACCGAGTTGGTCTTGCTTAGTGTTCTTGCGCCATTGGCAGTTGCTGACGTAGCAGCTGATTTCTGTCAGGACATTTTCTGCACCGATGCTTCGCTTGAGAAGGGAGCAATCCTTGCCAGCCCTCTGGACCGTAGTGTGATGCAGGTAGCCTGGAGGTGCTGCAGGTCAAAAGGAGGTTACTCAAAACTTCTGTCAAAGGAACAGGTCGTGCTTTCCAAGTCTATTGGTTTTGAAGAAGTTGATCCTGTCTTGGAACAGAAGGTGACGCGACCTCTGGCATATAGGTTTGCTTTTATTGAAATTTTTGCCGGAGCAGCCACTGTTACTCAGAAGGTCGCAGCTTTGGGTTTTTCAGTTTGCAACCCTATTGATATTTCGTTTGATGTCGAGCTCAATATGAAACATGTCCATGTCCTTGAGTGGCTCTTGCACCTCATCCAAAACCACTACGTTGAGAGTTTTATGATTGAGCCTCCCTGCACCACCTTCTCAGTAATGAGGAGACCTCCCCTACGTTCTAAGGAGCAGCCTTTTGGTTTCGACCCAAGTGACCCTCAAACAGAAGATGGCACCATCCTGGCGCATCGGTCTTTTGAGGTCTTTGACAGTGGCCTGAGGTGTGGTGTCACAGGAGTGCTTGAAAACCCATGGAGTTCCAAGATCAAGTTTTTGCCTGCTTGGGAGATTTTGATGGCCCATGCAGGTTGCCAGCTTATTAGATGTGATTCTTGCTTCTATGGATCAATCCACCTTAAGGCCTTCGCCTTTCTTTGCGCTTGGGCAGACATTGCCCCAATCTCCGGTAGGTGTACTGGTGACCACTCTCATGTCCCGATTCAGGGTGCCTTTACAAAGTCTTCAGCAACATACGTGGATGCACTGTCTGGTGCACTTGCCCAGGTTATGGCTATTGGGATCCGACGCCTGAGAGCTTTCAAAGAATCCCTTGATGTGCCCAATGCACATGGGCTCGAAAATCAGCTTCTCAATGACCTTTGCATATCCCTTTCTTGGAACCTTGTAAGTGTCTGGACTTTTAAGGTCTCTTCCCATATTAATGTGCTGGAGCTCTCCGCTGTCGTAAAGCTGGCTGGTATCCTTGTAAAAGCTGGAAAATCTGTACGGGTCGTGGTCCTGGTTGATTCGAACGTTGTCCGATGTGCTGCTGCAAAAGGCCGCTCCTCTTCACGTGCCCTTGCAAGAGCTTTGTGTAGGTTAGCTGCATTGTGCATTGCAGGAGGTATCTACCTCTCCATTGGTTTTGCGCCTACAAGGCTTAACCCTGCAGATGACCCCAGGCGAGACAGAGACATCCGGACTGCATCCAATGGCCTTGGTCTTTCCTTTTGGGATCCTGTGGATTTGTATCGACTTGCAGCTGTTCCAAAGCTTCGACGGTGGATTTCCAACTGGGTTCGCCTTGTCCTATGTCTGCGTGGCCCCTGTGCTCTGTCTTTTTCTGACCGGAGTCTCTACCGCTCCCCTGCCTTTATGTTTGGTTTTCCAGGTGCTGTGGATTTCCCTACGAACGTCTGCCGCATGTCCGGCGTCTGTTCGATTCCACTTTGGGTTTTCCTGGTGAAGGGCCCCTGGGGATTTTCACTGGCCTTTTTAGTTGCCCCCTTCTTTCGGCGGTAGTGTGGACTTTGCTTAGGGTAGGTTGCCATGGAGTGTTGATCCCTCGAAACGCAGGTGATGTCCGGCGACAGATGCTGAGGATGGAGCGCCCGCCTCTTCAAGAGGGTCGTCCAGTTCTGGCTGTAACAAGTGAAGCACGAGCGAGTTTTTTGGAGCTTTTTGGAAGGTGGCTGGCTTCAATTGGTTTTTCTCTGGAAGACCTGCTTCAGCATCACATTCAATATATCGCGGAGATCAACGAGCTTCTGGTTAAATATGGCCGTAACCTCTATGCAGTGGGTAGACCCTACAACCACTTCGCTGAAACTATAAATGCTGTAGCTGCAAAGAAGCCAGCTATACGCAGACAACTACAAGAGGCGTGGAATTTTGCTTTTGCGTGGGTAAGAGAAGAACCTTCCACGCATCACATTGCCCTTCCCTGGCAAATTCTCCTGGCAGCTTTGTCGGTGAGCCTCCTATGGGGGTGGTTGGATATGGCCGGAATGCTGGCATTGACATGGGGCGCTTTACTACGTGTCGGTGAGTTCACACAGGCAGTTCGCTCAGACTTGCTTCTGCCCGTGGACACCAATTTTACAAATTCTTTTGCCCTGCTCGCCTTGAAGGAACCAAAGACGAGATTTACTGCAGCGAGGCATCAAAGCGCGAAATTGGATATTCCTGATTTACTGAAAATTGTTCATTTGGCCTTCTCCAGGATGAAACCATTCCAGAAATTGTGGCCAAAGTCTGGTCAAACTCTACGAGTGAGATTTCGCCAGATTCTGCTTGAGTTGGGTATTGGCCCTAACACAAAATTGAATGGAAAAGGTTTGGACTTGGGGTCATTACGTCCTGGAGGTGCCGCATGGATGATCCAGCAATGTGAAGATCCTACTTTTACGCGTCGCCGAGGTCGCTGGGTGAATGAAAAAACAATGGAAATCTACATCCAAGAGATCTCCTGTTTCCAATTTCTTACGGTTCTTTCTGACAGTGCAAGGGCAAAAGTTTACACACTTTGTGAAGCTTTCCCATGGTTTTCTTTACAAGCTGAACAATTATGGCAGGCCAACGTTCCTGCCAATGTTTGGTATCAGGTATTGTCTCGGCAAGTTACAAGGGACTAGTGGGAGAAATGGATCAGTCCTCCAGCTCTCAACTTTGATCGAGCAACGGAGTGACATGTTGAACAACTACGCAAGGAAAACTGGAAGGAAAAGTGCGCCGAACTTGAATTCTTATATATATATATAATATACATACATATCTATCTATGTATCTAATATGTTCAACCTTTGAAGGTCCGTGGTATGTTTCTGCCCAAACTCCGCTTGTTGCTGAGGCCGTACAACACTATGATCGACGCTTGCGCCAAGGCCAATGACACCCAGCGCGCGGTGAAATGGCTGCAGCAGATGAAAGAACTTCAGCTGAGGCCCATGGATGGATTGTGGAGTATCTCTATATATGTATATATATTATCTATGATAGATGTTAGAGATTAGAGATTGGAGATTACAGACTATCGATCGATCGATCTATCTATCTATCTATCTTTCTATCTATCTATCTATCGATCGACCGATCGATCGATCGATCGATCTATCGATCTATCGATCTATCGATCTATCGATCTATCGATCAATCGATCTATCGATCTATCGATCTATCGATCTATCGATCTATCGATCGATCTATCGATTTATCTATCTATCTATCTATCTATATATCTAGATGTATTTATTGGAATTTAGCTACATCTTTACTGTACATAGAATTTCTTTCCGATGCTTTTTTTCTCCAGAATGTTGGGGATTTTTCACAGGGGATTGAGGTACAAGGTCCAAGTTGAGGGCATGAAATTCGTCACTTCGCCCTGGGCATTGGCCCAGCGGATCTTAACGGTGTTTTCTCAGATGGCTTCAAGCTTTACTTTACCCCAATTCCGCAAGAAAATGTTCTATGGACGCGTTTTTGAGTTGGCAAGGTGCATCGACATGCAGCGCTTAGGCCATGAATTTCAAGAGCGGTGCTTTCGGGTGATTCCCTGCAATTCCCATCCCCGAAACCCTGGTGCAACGTACTCGATCTGTGCATGTTGTTCTGCACCTTGTGGCTTTGTTGCGATCGGGGGGTCGCATTATTTTGAGGGTGGTTCAGTGGTTCCGATACTTTTGTGATACATAAGATAGTATCAATATGTATCAATCACCATGAAAAATGGCATACACATCACCATCATTGCTAGTGTTTGATAGACCCTTTTGGTCTACATTACTCGGATTTTACCCTATGGTAATTTAATATATATACCTGAAAATGGTCCTTTTATAGTTGATTTTCCTATTCACATGGTGATTTTCCATAGCTATGTTAGTTTACCAGAGGGTATTCTTTTTGTTTTCTGAATCTTCCGAATCTTCCTGGGGTTGCTCCAAGCAACGCCAGGCCTTCGGGCATCGCCTACCATGCCTTGATCAATGCCTTTGCACAGGACGATCGCTTGTAATCCTATATGGGTATGGATCAATACCTATTAATACCATTTTTAGGGGGGATGAACATCCATAAATCCCAGCTATTTTGATGTGAACTACCCATGCGTACAAGGTTTTGACACACTGCCATATATCTTCTAAATGGGTGTAATTTGGAGATAGGAAATTGGATGGTAAAACACCTGTAGGTAGTCTGATTTCCAGATTGGTTTCTGGAAAAATCAGCTCGTGGATTAATTTTTTCTGGATGTACTGTAAATGAGATGTCAAAACTCCAGTATGATGGTAAATGATTGTGAATGGGGTAACCCAAAAATCCAGCGATGTAGTTTTGACCATATTTCTTCCCTCAATTATATAGGGATGACACCCATTCCTGGACAAATTCGTTTCATCTGAAAAATGATGATGAGATGGAATGGCACCCGCCTGTCCAGAAAGGAGAAGCACGACCCTTTGCATGATGCTTCAACCAGAAATCAACATCACGATCCAGCAGAAGTAACAACATATATAGATAAGCAGGCATCTACCTCAAAATGATTGAACCCAAAAAGATTCCTCTAATCCAACCGTACTCAACGGCCAATGTACTACATTACTTTTGGGTTGCGTTTCCAGACAATAGCGGTATCTCTCAAATTCCAGTGTAGTGATCCAACAAATCTCTTCGGCTATTTCTTGTCAATGAAACACCACGTATTTCACATGTATATTTTGTCATTGTTCTCGAAGAAGAAGAAGGAGAAGAAGAAGAAGAAGCAGCAGCAGCAGAATAAGCACTCGTGGTTTTCTATTTGTCATTCATGTATTTCCTCAACCAGGTTGATAATCATATTTTCTTCCCAATTCTTGGACAGACCCAAAAATCGTATTGTTGCTTGTATATCCCCTTAAGTATTCCCACCATTGCAGGTTATAAACTTGCGTTTTGGTGGCTTAAGTCACTCATAAAAACCCAAAATGATGGTTAAAAAATCACAATTTTGATGCTTAAGTCACCAGTTTTGATGGGTCAATCACTATTTGTGATGGTAAAACCCCCAAGTTTTCATGTAAAAAAAACACTATTTTCCAGCTTAGATGGGCATTTTTGATGATTGAACCCCCATTTGTGGCTGAACTCCAGCTTCGTGGCTCAAACGGCAAGGCCGGCGACCTCCGCGGCGCCTTGGTTTGGCTGCGCGAGGCGTCCGAGCTCGGTGCCGAGGGTGGCGAGGCCACGTTTCTGGCGCTGCTGATGGGCTGCGATGCTTGGTTTTTCTGGGTTGGGGTGGGGGGAGCCATTGACCAACCTACCAGGTTAACCAATCAACCAGGTTATATCCCATAGTTCTATGATGTTCTATGGCTATATCCCCCCTTCATCAACCCGAGCAGTTAACCATACTTAATGGGTTGGGGGGATATAGCCATAGAACTATGGGATATAGCCGGCCAACCAGATAATGGATGTTTTTCCATAGTCATGGGGCTACCCCCAATAGCTGGAGGGTTTATGGAAAGTCCGAAAATAAAGTGGATGATTTGGGGGTACCCCCTTTCAGGAACCCGCCTATATAACCATTATAACCATAGTGAATGGGTTTATGAACCAACCAATGACTATAGTTGATGGGTGAAAATAGACGGGCTGATCAACCGACTTCTCTTGGGAGGCTTCGCCTGCTGGCTTGTACTTCAGAAATAGGAAGATTTAACAATAAAGAAATGGAATTCAGTCAGCAAAAGCTGGGGGTTTAACCACCCAATTTGTGGGAATTTACTATCGGGTGGTGAATGGAGGGACCGAGCTGTGAAGGGGAGCTATGGCTGTTTCCCAAGACTACATGTGTCACATGTTAGTTCAATCAGCCAATTTATGGTGATTTACAGGAACCAACCAATAGATATTTGGCAGTGCTTGAAAATGATTGGAAAACCACCATTCCATCCACTGGTTAACCATGATCGTCCCATATTGTCCCCATGGTTCTAGCCATGAATTGAGGGTAAATCCACCATTTCAGACACACATGTCAATGAGTCAAATATACCATGACATATCCAATAATTGTAAGACGATTGGAGAATGCAATCGCCGAAAGTGTAACCAATAAGTCATCTCGGAATCTCGAATTTTTCCATGAGCTTCCAGCCATGTTTGGCAGGACAGTTGGGGAAACTTGGTGAAGTTTCTTGATGTTCGATGTTTGGCACAGCTTTTGAAGAATCCGTGAGGAACCGACATGTGTTCTTGGAAAAGTATGGCACCTCCAAATTTGATGGTTTATCATCATTTTCCCTATCAACATGGCCATGAATAGGTGGTAAGTACCCATAAATCATACTGTTGATTGTGCTTGTATATCATACCATTAAATCCCATTAAATCCCATAGAATCCCATTAATATCTATTGAATCCCATCAATATCTATTAAAGCCCTTTTAATATCCCATTGAATCCAATTCATATCTCATTAAATCCCATTAGTATCCCGTTTATATCCCTTAAATTATAAAGTCCCATTAATATCCCATTATGTATGGTGAAGTTTTTAATTTCGTTGCGTCAAAATCAGCTAGGCGAGAAGCGCGCGCCCAGATCTGGCCAAAGAGTGGATCCAGGAGATGAAAGCACAGGACGCCCTGCAGCTGCCGGAGAAAGCCATTGGGATATTCATGTGATTTTCGTGATTTTAGTGGGACATGAATGGGATATTAATAGGATACCTAAATTTCCAATTGAAGAGTTTTCCAACTGCCTGTGTGGTTGATTTTTTTTTAATTGGGGGGTTATACTCTCCAATTTTAATTGGGGATTTTCAGAATCCATGAGCAATCCCATCCTCC